CTGTCTCTTCGCACGTAAGATAGCGCGCTAGGAATGGCAATACAGAATCTCGATAAGCCGATGTGCGACAGGGTATAAGACGGAAGTTGCGGCGCATCGGGCGGGAAGACTTGGCAGACATAAGATCGGAATGCAGGGGATGGGCAACGTCATCTAGAATTCGACCAGCAAATTGCTTGACCGCATTGAAGTGTCGTTGTAAGATTGTGTCAACTAACAAAATATAAGAAACGCCGGCAGCAGAAGAGAGCATGCGGAGGATTCGTTTCAAAATGAAAAGATCCTTTTTTAACAAAGCAGGTAAAACGACAGGAGAACAGTATAGGATCAGAGGAAGGATGCAGGCATCAATTAAACGCCAGACTAAGGGTTGAGGTGTGTAGTAGGAACGCAAACGACGAATGTAGTAAAGGAGTTTACGAACTTTAATAAATAGGGACTCAATATGGAGGGAAAAAGAAAGATTTGAGGACAAAGTAACGCCAAGATACCTGAAAGAGGATACTTCGTGAGGAAGAATGTCAGAGGAATCAGGGTTAGGAGAGGGCGCAGTCGAAAAATACACTGAACGGATTTTTGGTTGTTAATTAGGAGACCATTTTCCTCCGACCACGCTAGGACATGGTTTAGGCCATCCTTTAGAGACCGGAGGTGTGTCTGACTTTTGAGAGGGTGTCCAACAACCACATCGTCAGCATACTTGACCAGAAGACAGTCATTAGGGGACCTGAGATCATCAGTGTGGAGGGAGAAAAGGTGAGGGGATAGAATGGAACCTTGAAGAACACCGCAGTCATTGGGAAGGGTCGAAGATTTTCGCTTGCCAGATTGGACAAATTGGGTGCGGAAGCTAAAATAATCGCTCAGCCAAGAGACGACCCAGCCTGGAGAGCCACATGCGGAGGTTTTGGAAAGGAGAAGAGGACGCGGGACGGTATTGAAGGTGGAAGAGTAATCAAGAAAAGCGCACGCATACTCGCAGCAACCCTTGTCTAATGCTTTTAGAGCAGAGTGGACCACAAGAGCGGTAGCATCTAAAGTACTCCGTTTAGCTTTGTATGCAAATTGTAAGGGGTCGGAAAAACTGGAAGAATAAGGCTTTATGATATCTAGGGCAACTCTTTCAGCAAGCTTTAGTATTGCAGAGGAGCAGGCAATTGGGCGAAAAGATTTAGGACCAAAGTTAGCAGGTTTTTTAGGGATGGGAGTGATTCTCACTGTACGCCAGGCGTCGGGAATCTTGGACTCCATGAAAGACATATTGATTAGGTGCGTTAAAATAGGGGCTATCTGAGAACTGCAAGATTTAAGAAGAAAAGGCGAGACACCATCCGGTCCGGCAGCTGTTGATCCACGGACCTTTTTAAGGTGTTCCTCTACTGTTGCCAAAGACACGGGTTGGAATGTACTCGGTGATAGGGGAATGTCTTCTAAGGGAAGATGGGAGTCATTGTGACTAAATATAAAATTTTTATTTAGGGAGTCTAAATCTGCATCCACATGCACCAGCGTGTTGCGACGACCAGTGAGACGCTTAAGATTCTTCCAAATCTTAGCTGAGGAAGGGGGGAAAGGGGGGAGTAAGAAGAGAAAAAAAGTTGGCTGACAAACAGGCTATTTAGCCTGTTAATCTCTGTTTTTATTAAGACGGTAACGTCCTTAAGGTTATCACGTAAGCCTAGCTTGTAAAGGAGTTCTTTTTTACGTCTTAAAGATTTTAGATAGGGGGAAGAAATTCTATCCGGTCGTACCATAACAGTATCAAAAGGGCAGCAAATATCGAAAATTTCCTTTAAAAACGCTGTCAGGTTGGAAGAACAGGATTCAACATTAGAATGTTCAAGGAAAGTGGGGATAGTAAGAGAAATGCAAGTCTGAAGCATTTCCTTGGAGGACACTGTTTACAATAGAGGTCTCGATGGAAAATAAGAATCCCCCTAAGATCTTTTGTTTCCGATTAAATAGATATGGCTTATAAAGTCAGCAAGGTGGCTGCGTATTTCTAGATCCTCCGGCCTAACTAAGAGTCGTCTGGGTTGTGCCTTATCGGAGGCCTGTTATCGATGGGCTATTAGGAAAGTGGTAAAATATGTACAGTAATTTCTGCCTAAATTTCTGCATGAGCAGCCAGCCGTGCAACGTATTTCGAAAAGTAGCTAAGATAAAGCGGGAAAAGTTTCAGTATATGCTGAAGATTTATATTTTCGACCATAACACTTGTTATTATAGGTTGCACTGATTATAAATGCAGCGTTTTAAGTAAGAAGGGCAAGCTCTGGGTAGAACAAGAAAAGGATCTTGAGTTGAATGCGCAGGGAGAGTTCAGGGAACATGAGTTTTCTTGCAGGCAATTCAGGAAGAAAGTTGCTTCGCGAAGGGATGCAGACCCAGCCTCAGGGCAGCGTATAATTAAAAAGGCAGAGCAGCAGACGGGTCAAAAACACCTAAATAAGCGCTAATGGTGATGCAGCAGGCCTGCAGATGTAGTCTACACAAGGGTGATGTCACAAAAATCCAGCGGACAGAAAATATTTCTGATGAGGGAGCACAGACAGCGGGACGGAAGTAGAATACCAAGCGCGCGTTGCAAAACCCGTGCCATCAGCCGGAGAGATGGGCTCGGGAGGAAATCGTGTTTCGTGAACGTCACGATGCCTTGACTAAGAAGCTTGATTTCCACTGAGAGACCATGACAACGGATACCAGACGCGGAGTGAAAGATGTGAGCGTACAAAGCACATTTTGAGGTGACCTACTCGATGCAGCGATATAAGGGTGCGCAATGACTCATCACTGATATCAATAATAAAATGAGGCGTAAATGGAAACAAAGGAAAAACGTCCGGGAATTTAGAAGGAAGAATTATTCATACTGTGCGGACAGCTATCGGGGGTGTAGTGGCCCTACTTCGGCGCCTGTTTCAACTCTGGGCCTCTTGAAAGTATCTGCACGTGGGCACCAGGGCTTCCTGACGTTCGCCACCCGGTTATCCAACTGGTCAATCGGATTCAAGGTCGAGTCAGACGGTTCCTGGCCCAAGGCGTTGCGATGCATTCATTCATTCACACGATAGTTCAACCATCGATTTCGGTGATGTCCACCGTGTGCCCCACAGCTGCAGCGGCGGTTGGAGCAGGGACGGTGACTTGCGCAGGGGTTTATAGTGCCAGTAGACTTGCGATGCATCTACCTACACTCTCTCCTCCTCCCCCGCCTGAGCCCGGTGTCAAGACAGAGTCAAGAAGACCGGAGACGAGGGATGCCGCAGGTGGATGGCTCGGACGGATCCTCACCTTGGCGCTCCACTCCGCACCCCCTAGTCCACACACAAATGACCAGGATTTCAACCAACACAACAGAGATTGCAGGCTGGCACTGCCGAAGCCGCACCTAGGCGTGCCGCTGACGCGTGGCTCGGATCCCACACAATGGCAGTACAATAAAGGCCGCATTAAGAAGGAGCCATTACAGCCTGACTCTCAGACCAGCACCAGTCAAGGAGGAGGTCCAAGTTATCCCGTCAGTTTGCATCCTTCCAAGCCACGGCTTTTAGCGCATCGTGATAGCTTCAAGCGCGTCAGATTGTTTATAGTTAGGAGAAAGTGCGCTGAGTCGTCGACCTCACTCGCCCTTCCCATTCCCGCACCCCCACCGCTGTCCGAGCCGGTCAGCAGACTGGAGTTGGAAATGGGCGCGGTGGCTGTCATGGTCGACTGACCATGACTGCGCGCGCCACAGCACGACCTGGCACCCCATACACACAAGCACCAGGATTTCACACAACGGGGGTTGAACGGCGCCTCTCACTTGCGTGAGAGGGCCGAGGAAGGTGCTGTTTCAGCCCGTCCCAGCCCACCAGTACGTCACTCCATACAACGTACACACACACACACACACACACACACACACACACACACACACACACACACGACAGTTCGACCGTCGGTTTCGACGATGTCCACCGTGTGCCCCACAGCTGCAGCAGCGGTGACTTGCGCAGGGGTTTATAGTGCGGGTAGACTTGCGCTGCATCTACCTACACTCTCTCCTCCTCCCCCGCCTGGGCCCGGTGTCAAGACAGAGTCAAGAAGACCGGAGGCGAGGGAGGCCGCAGGTGGATGGCTCGGACGGATCCTCACCTTGGCGTTCCACCACACCCCCTGGTCCACACAACAATAACCAGGATTTCAACCAACACAACAGAGATTTGGAGGCTGGCACGGCCGAAGCCGCACCTGGGCGTGCCGCCAACGCCTGGCTCGGATCCCACACTGTGGTGAGAGTGCCATAAAGGCCACATTAAAAAGGAGCCATTGCAGCCTGACTCTCAGACCGCCTCCCGTTAAGGAGGAGGTCCAAGGTACCCCGTCAGTTGGCAACCTTCCAAGCCACGGCTTTTAGCGCACCGTGATAGCTTCAAGCGCGTCAGATTGTTTATAGTGAGGAGAAGGTGCGCTGAGTCGGCGACCTCACTCTCCCTTCCCATTCCCACACCCCAGCCACTGTCCGAGCCGGTCAGTAGACTGGAGTGGGGAATGGGCGCGGTGGCTGACATGGTCGACTGACCATGACTGCGCGCGCCACAACACGACCTGGCCCCCCATACACACACAAACACCAGGATTTCACACAACGGGGGTAGAACGGCGTGTCTCCCACTTGCGTGAGAGGGCCGTGGAAGGTGCTGCTTCAGCCCATCCCCAGCCCACCAGTCCGCCACTCCACACAACACACACACACACAACGTGACGAACTGCGCGAACCGAGAACGGGCCTCAATCAGCAACCTTCCTATCCACGACACTTGACGTGTCGGGATAGTCTCGGACACAAGTCACCCGTGCAGCCGAAGCCGCATGGGGACCGAGTCGAGATGCGCACTTCCCACTTGCGTGGGAGGCGGCAGTTGAGTGCATGAGGTGTGTGAGTGTTGATGTCTGGTGGGGTGATGGTGTTAGGAGGTAGGGAGTGAGGAATGTGTGGTGTGTCCGGCGGTTGTCTACCGCAGGTCGTCGTGGATGCGCATGTGGCCGAATAAACCCATGCGATGCCTGAAGGTGCGATCGCAGTGAGGGCAGATGTAGTCCTGGCCCTCACGTCTGATGATGGAGGTTGCAGGGCTTGTGCCGGTTGTTGTGTCAAGTTCGGCTGCGGTGAAGTCGTGGGCGACAGACGCCGAAGCGGCCGTCGTTGTGGCAGTGAAGGAGGAAGAGGAGGAGGAAGGGGAGGAGTGAGGGGTGGTAAGGTCGGTGGCGTCGATGTCGGCTGGGGAGTGGTTAGTGGGTGCACAAGGTGGTGGATTGGGAGTGGGGCTCGGCGGGGTGGATGTGTCAAGGCTGCGGTCAATTCCGCTCTCGTGGATGCGCATGTGGCCGAATAGACCCATGCGATGAGTGAAGGTGCGAGGGCATTGTGGGCAGTGGAGGCGAGTGCGGTGGGTGTAGGTTGGTGCTCCAGGCACTGGTTCGCCAGTCTCTGTGCGATGGATTCGCAAGTGACCGACCAGGCCGATGTGTGAGGTGAAGGTGCGGTCGCAGTGAGGGCAGGTGTGGTCCTGATCCTCATCAGTGGTATCGGGAGAGGTGGGAGAGGTGATGTCGGTTGGTGTGTTGGTGTTGGTGATGTGTGAGACAGCAGTCTGAACGGCCGCCGCTGGGGCAGTGGAGGAGAAGGAGGAGGATGGTAGTGGTGATGCAGAAGGAGTGTCAGAGTTAGTTGGCGGAAGAGAGGAGGAAGAGGCGGGTGGGGGGACGATGGCTGGAGCAGTTCGAGAGGTGCAGTTGATCCGAAGATGTCCAACAAGTCCGATTCGTGCCCGGAATGTCCGGTGGCATCGAGGACACGTAGGGAGAGGTTGTGCGGCGGCGTTGCGGACTGGGCGAACTTGTGATTTGCGGGCTTCGCGTTTCGCTTTGGCGGCGGCGATGCGGTTGGCTTCATAGATAGCAGCGCCCGTCTTCACTGTTCTCCTCCATGTCGGGCGATCGCGAGCGAGCTCTTCCCAGTTGGTCGGGTTGATTTGCAGGCGCTTCAGGGAGGACTTCAGAGTATCCTTGTAACGGCGAATTTGGCCTCCTTGACGACGAGAACCCGTCGCGACGTACACACACACACACACACACACACACACACACACACACACAACGCGACGAATTGCGTGAACCGAGTGCGGACGTCAATCAGCAGCCTTCCTATCCACGACGCTTGAAGTGTCGGGATAGTCTCAGACTCCAGTCCCCCGTGCAGCCGAAGTCGCATGGGGACCGAGTCGAGATGCACACTTCCCACATGCGTGGGGGTCGGCAGTTGAGTGCTTGCGATGGGTGAGTGTTGATGTGCGATGTTGTTGGGGGACGGTGGTGTTGGGGGCAGGGAGGGAGGGTGTGATGGTGTGGTGTAGCCGGCGGTTGTCAACCGTAGGTCTTCGTGGATGCGCATGTGGTCGACTAGGTTAATGCGATACGTGAAGGTGGGAGGGCAGTGTGGACAGTTGAGACGAGTGTGGGGGGTTTAGATGGGTGCTTCAGGCACTGGTTCGCCAGTCTCTGTGAGATGGATTCGCAAGTGACCGACCAGGCTGATGCGAGAGGCAAATGTGCGTGGACAGTGTGGGTAGGTGAAGTCGGTGGTGTCAGTGTCAGTCACAGAGGAGGCGGTGGTGGTGATGTTGGCGACGGAGTGAGGGTTGTCCTGGGCATGGTGGACGTGTTGGATGTGGTCGGTGTGTCGGAATTGCTGTCAATTCCGCTCTGGTGGATGCGCATGTGGCCGAATATGCCCATGTGATGCCTGAAAGTGCGAGGACAGTGTGGGCAGTTGAGTCGAGCTTGGTGGGTATATGTTGGTGCTCCATGCACTGGTACGCCAGTCTCTGTGCGATGAATCCGCAAGTGATCGATCAGGTCGACGTGTGAGGTGAATGTGCGGTCGCAGTGAGGGCAGGTGTAGTCCTGAATCTCATCGCTGGATTCGGAGGCAGTGAGGGTGATGTCGGTTGTTGTGTCAGGGTTGGTGATGTGCGTGACGGCCGCCTGAGCGGCCGTCGGTGGGGCAGTGGAGGAGGAGGAGTAGGAGGAGGAGGAGGTTAGAGATTGCGGGACAGTAGAGTAGTCCGAGGTAGTTGGCGGCAGAGAGGACGAGGATGCGTCAGGTGGAGGGACGGCGGTTGGTGCGGTCCGAGACGTACAGTTGATCCAAAGATGTCCAACAATTCGGATTCGAGCCCGGAATGTCCGTTGACATCGAGGACACGTTGGTAGCGGATGTGCGTCGGCGTTGCGTACTGGGCGCAGCTGTGATTTGCGTGCTTCGCGTTTCACTTTGGCGGCGGCGATGCGGTTGGCTTCGTAGTTAGCAGCGCCCGTCTGCACTGTTCTCCTCCAGGTCGGACAATCGCGGGCGAGCTTTTCCCATTTGGTCGGGTTAGTTTGCAGAGGCTTCATGGAGGACACACACACACACTTTGGACGCTGCACACTCGGCACCGGACGTGCTGTCGTCCGGCTGCCAACTCTCTCCAACTCCTTCTCCAGTTATTTTGTACATAATATATTCTCCTCCTCTTTATATTCGGGACCGGGTCCGAAGGTCGTATTAGCCAGGATATCATTTATGGCTTAGGCTTCTGCGATATAATGGCCAAAATCTAAGGAAGGTTTGGATTATTGTTGACGTCAAAAACGAGATAGAAGACGGCTCTCGGTCTCCGAGTCCATCGAAATTTGCTGTCAGTTAGTTAGCATCTGTATGAGTATAGAGTATTTTGATGTGTAGAATACAGGAGTCTCCTGGTAAAACGTCGGTAAATATTTTCAACTTTAGGATGGCAAGACTTATTCATCAAACCAAAGTATAAACGGTAACATTCAAGAATATGAAGGACAACCAAGCGATAGTCTTAATCTGATTTTAGACGAGTAGATACTTTATGAATTGAGGCCATAAGCCCGGACTTGCTGAAAATTCCCGGATGAATAGGGTTAGTCAGGGAGTTAGGACTAGTTTTATGATTAGAGTTATGAGAGTCGGGGTTAGGTTTATGAGCGCTAGTATTAAGGTTAGGGAAAGTATTCGGGCAAAGTTCGGACACAGAATAAAATACCGTCCCCCAGGATATAGATCGAGACCACCTGTCGTACTAGAGAAGTTCATATTCTCGTGTCCGATTTATGTCTTTTAGTTCAACTGGAGGCGCTAGACACCCGCTGTCCTCCAGTCGACTTCAGTAGGTTATACTTATCCAACCGCTGTCGGAAGGATATGGTTCGTAATTGATACTCGGTGCCTCACTAGACTACGAGTGACGTACTTCAATGTACGGTTCTCGGTCCGTTGCTCTTCTTCCTCTACATTCTCAGCATCTCGGCAGTTTTCAGAAATTCGCAAACGTTCATTTATACTGATGATCTTGAGTTCTTTTATTAAGTTCCCAGGGACAGCGTAAGTGACTGTGTAACAGCCCAAATAGAGCATAGGGTTCTGACCTTGTTTTAGTAGACGAGTGAATACTCATCTTGTGGAGAACCCCGGACCAAGCTCGTCACATGGGCACGATCAAAGCAGGTGATCTGTATACTCGATAAGTTCCACCATCGTTTGTTCTTTCGTTGATCATTGTTACATTTTGTTTTGCACCTTCTGTCTTTTTCCAGGTTAACCCCTTACTCTGATGTTTGTACATATTTTCTCAACGTCGTCTATTTCGTTGGTTCCTGTGTTCAATTCGTTATTGGTTTTCTACTGACGTTAACACACGTTTATATACCCTGCTATAGTAAACTTTTTCTTCGGCACCTGCCTACACTCTTCCCAACCCCTAACGTCCAACTCTGATGTGCTTGAGTATGCCTGTGAAGAATTTTGGATGTTCCATGTTCAGATCCTCAGGTTGTAAAGAAGGAGGGCTGTCCCCATCCAATATCGCTTCGTCCCCTACCGATCCATCCGGAACGGACGCTACAACTGCGCTGAAATAATAAACTTAGATTGGTCTTTTTTGTCAAAATGAAATTCGACTTGACAAATGGGACTTCCTTCGTCCAAGTTTAGTTGCATCTGTTTCACTCCCATCATACTTTCTGGCCGCATAGTATTTCAAAATAATCTTCACCACCATAAAGCACCTAAGCCTGAATTATGCGAGCACGCTAGCTACACGGCCTCGTGCAGAGACTGCACAGATTAGTGTCTTTATATTGTGTAACCTTTTGAAAATAAGGCTAAGACTCTACCACATGTTTGTTGTCCCAGTCCCAGAACGTTCCTCTTCTCTCTCGGGTCTACTGAATGCCTACTACCGTAGTAAAACTGAACATGTCCAGAGGCTCTCTTCTCGAATACCCGTCCCTCGTACTTGATTATTTTTTTCTAGTATTGAGGGATGCTTACAGGCGAAAACTTACTTTTATGAATTAGATGGGACGAAGTCGGTCTTTACATTCAGTTTCGCAATGAATTCTAGTCATAATCTTCCAGGCACGGACGTCTCCACACTAGTATTTCAACCTTAATTCCCACTAACTCCTTCCGCGGTCATTCGACCGCACTTTTATTCCTTTTGAATGAGCTTCAACTCCAAATTGGGTCATTTTCCAGCTTACCAGCGCTCAAAGTAAAACGCTACAGTCATTTTAACTCGGAGGAATACAAAGACCTTACAGACCGCATCGTTCCTAAACATTCAACTACCGGTATTTTCAAAGGCTTCTCCGGAGTGCGTGGTTGCATGAAGGACAAATTGGGACTGAGTCTGCTGTGCTGGCAGCTGCTTCCCCTACCATGTCTGTGTTCCGGCTCCGACGGCTACAAGTGTCTGACTGATGGAACCACAGCTGGATGGGTGGTGGTGCAGCCAGGGCAGGTAGGCGGTGCCTCGTCAGGTATACTGGCGTTTTGGCTTGTGGGAGGACTGGCAAGTCGTGTTAATGTTGAACAAAATCAAAGGGTGCCAAGCAAGGTCTGTACTGAGCTTGAATGAGCGTAGACAGGGGAGCTATATTGTAGCCTCTAAGCGGTGGGAGGGTACTCAGAGCCCAACAATCATCAGGCCATTTCGCGAATTTCGGAAGAGAGGTCACCAGAACGAAGGGTTTATTGTATTCACAAGTCTGAATTGTCCTTCCAGGCGGCAGTGGCCGCTAACGAAGCCAGGGCTGGTGTCGACTGCGTCCAGTCATGCCTGAAAGCCGTTGGGAGGGCGACGGCGGCTGGTTTTTGAATTGTTGTGGGGCAATCTGAAATGTTTTCCAGTTGGTGTGTTCGGGCTGCAACCTTGTCGTCCGCTTTCGCCGTTAATAATGAAATGCTGTCCAGCCGATCGCCATCGAGATTTATCCTTGGTTCGGTGCATTTAGTGGTTTGTGCCGTCATACGATCGATAGCTGTTTTCGGCGCGTTCGTTTCGAGGTAGGCGTGTAAGAAATTTTACTTCGCTGCGTAACTCGTGTGTGATGACTGGGGGCCGGCGAATAGCAGTCGATTTTGCCCCTTGATGCCCTTATGACGACTTGCATATGACAAATGCCGAACAGTTTCCGAGCCTTCAGTGCTTCTTGTCGAGTCAGAGGCTATCTTCCCAGTTCTCGTCCAATGTCAGTGGGGAAACGTGAGGCTGGAAATGACTGTAGCATAGGCGCGGCCACGTCACACAGAATCCGTCACTGCGAAGCCCTCCTATGCAGATCTGTCCTGTTATGCATGTTATTATTCAGTCACAAGGCCATCAGCAAGAAAAGTTCGAGACAAAACGTCATCGGTACTGCCCGGAGACTGTCTCGCATCACGGTGTTGAAGGCTTTCTTGAGATTCAACGCAGTCGCCGGATTACAAAGGTCATATTGTTGGTCCCGCAGTTTATCCGGAGCCTAAACTGAGCTTTGAGAGCAAGCCGTTGTTTCGGGTGCAGACTCAGACGATCGAGTAGTAACCGAAGATTTTGATAATAATATTGAAGAAAGGGACAACAAGTAGCCGTCGTCGGTTAGTCGTTTTCGAATGTATTTGTGAACCAAGTTTGCCCTACAAATACTCGTGCAATTTGTCCTTGTTGAGACACTCCCTAGAACAGTGAAGTAAGCTTGCCCAGGCTATGAGGATCGTCGTGTTTGTAGAACTCGGTTGAAACCCACTTAACACTGAGATATATTTATTGGGCATTTATTGCAATGCTGAATCCTTTTTGGAAGTGGGCAAACAAACGATTTTCACACAAGCCCGTGCACGAGGGAATCTGTTGGCGGCTCTCTCGCAAACCGTAGATGGACAGTTGCGGATGCCTCCGATTTGCTCGATTAGACACCCAGATCGCCGCGACTCCTCAGTTAGTAGCATTGTTTTGAGAGGGACGGTGCGTTTCCAGTGAGCTCCAGTGCGTGGACAGCCTTGGCGGACGCGAGGAAGTTGTTCATCCTACCATAATCTACGAACTCCATGATCTAATCTGCCTCGGTAGCCAGCCAGCTATTTCATATCTACCTTAGCCCCAGTTGCCACTGTCGACAGCTTTGGACCCCTGCCGAATTGCCTAGGATACACGCGCACAGTCCTCGCTGGCAGGTATGCGCGTATGGTAGACGCCTGCTCTTGACCCGAATATTCCGCTAATAAGGTACCTCCTACTGATGTCTACCTCACCTCTGCCAATGGGGTCTGGCCCATCTTTGTGGTGAAGCGATTTGCAGCACATCCCACTCCTTACTGGCACCCCACCTTTCTCACGATTTGTGCACGTCATTTTAGGCATCAAACCCGTGAGTCGCGGCCAGCTAAGCACACTAGGTGGTAGCCAGCATCTCAATGAGGAGATAGGCAACTTGTCCCTAAAGAAGGCTGTTCACATCCCGAGCATGATGTTATTGCGAGGGATTCAGGTTCAGATCATACCCGGTGCGGAGGTTAACTGGGTTGGGCCTCAGATGGATGAAAGGGCACAGGCGAGCCGTGAAATGCAAACGCATAACGCAGTACAGAACTTCCGTATGAGCTAGGACTGACAGGAACAAATGCTCCTGACCAACTGTAAACTACTGTAATTATAGCATGTTACCAGGGCCAGCAGCGTTCCTGCATCGTCTCCGATGACCAATTGGACTAACTTTCTAGTTATAACGGAGATCAACTGATGACTGGATGGAGACTACCGGCGACCCAACCGTCTACCCCACGCATAAAAAATAGCGGTCGAGGCAGCTGTAAGTTGAGACGGATCTACGGAATAATCCCTAATCAAATTGCCGAGTTGATCTAAGGCAGGTAAAATAAGAGTTCGGGAGATAAGTGATTCTAGAAAAACCGGAGGCTGGGTTAACTTGAATCCCCCAATTTCAGATAAAGGAGAATATGTGGTGTGCGTACAAGCATGCATGTTTTTGGTCATCGTTTATATGCAAGGGGTTTTGCGTCCTTAAAAACAAGCGGCGTCATTAGCCGCGCTATCGTCTTTGGTCGACTGGAAGCCTCTAAAGCGGATTTGTCTGCAGAATCTGCGTCTTTGGAAGGGTCTTGTTTAGAAAGGCGACATCCAACAAATACGAAGTACTTCTTTAGCCTAAAAACAAAACACATTTTAAGGTCAGATATGCCAAAAGGCGAGAAATCTGGCATATGGCGCCAAAAACCGGCATGTGAGGTCATTACCAATTGTGTGCAGTATACTGCGTCTATTACTGAGTAACGTCAAGCTCTCTGACAAAGAAAATTTCGCTAAAAGGGTATAAAACTCGGTAAGCCCCTAGTGCTGGCGGCAAGCAAGTTTTTCTATGCATTAGCGCCTACTGTCTCTGAGGTTGAGCTTATTTTCAAAAAAACCCCATCAAACCAATATGCTTTGTGATTTTGCGTAAGAAAACAAAAGCGACCGACCGATCCGATGGGAGTTTGAAGTCCACAGTCAAGTCATCAATGGTGGTTGTGAAATCATCGCAGTGGAGTAGGAGAACCACAATGTGATACAACAGTTTGTCACGCAGTGTTGGGGTCATTGTCCTAAAAAGTGCAATATTCCTCTGGTAAAGGAGATTTGAACACGCAGGAACCATAGAATTGGAAGAAGGCAGAAAATACTATAAACACAGAGACGCGAGCAGATTGGCTGAAGAAACAAGCAAATGTAAACCCCACCCCATGACTTTGGAAAACCATAGTTGTGATACAAATGCGTGTTTCCTTTAACTATTCGGAAGTACTAACACTCAATCCCAGCGGAAATATCTAGCACTCCACCTTCAAGTAGAGGGCGGAAAACGGACAATGTAGACAAGAGCAATGGCCGCCGTCATTTCGACGCCGTCCCCCACCCTACACTGAACAAAGGATGAGGAGGAGCCGATGTCACCATGACAACGATCGTCAACCTCTTGACGCAGAGGGCTGGAAGTGAATGACGCGCCAGCACGAAGAAAAACCCTTAAGTACTGTGACGCGCCGTACGCAACCCACCTCCGATGACAGAAGCCTGTATGCTTTCGAAAGGTCAGGCCAATAAAACCCTGGTTCCTGTGGTCATTTTACCGGCGGACTGGCGTGCCTTGTGTCCCTCTCACGCCTGACGTGGTTGCCGCTGCCAATAGTATTTTCCGAGAACTGAATTAAACTTAGTGCAAAGATGAGGCAGTTAGATAGTGTCCGTCTAATGTTTGTCATACACCTGTCTCACCCCTCTCCCTTAAACCTGACGCAGCAGCTTCACCCCCATTTGAGGGTCTGAGGAGAAAAATACGAGTACGTGCACACAGGTCAACCTATGTGAGGATAAGTTAGAACATAGGACGAAATTCCGCAATGCGTTTTCGACTCGAAAAGATTACTTAGGTAGGGTTGTAACAATAATCAGCATGCAAAGTAAACCCAAAATAATTCAGTTGCTGCAGGATGCTTTTGAACGAACTGCGTGCTGCTGACCGCCTGCAGAAAAGTACTCTCTGTAACAAATGACTACTTAAGTAGCACGAATTTTTATCATTTATTTTTGATGTTCTTTTGTATTCAAATATATTTCACAGAAGACATGCATGAAAATATTCATTATTTTACTCATTTGAAAGAGAAATACATCTTCTCCAAATTTTATTCTTAAAGGAAAAATATACTTCGGTTTTAAAAAACCTTCACAATTCCCAAGTAATTTTGGATCAAACCTGCCCTTACGCTCGCATCCAGGGTTTCCAAACTACGGGCTGTATATTTTCCGTTCACAGAAAATCACACATTTATACACACTATTGAGAGGCAAGCATATTGGTTTCATAAAATTTAGCGGTTGATTTGAGCCATATTGTAAACTTTACAAGCAATATTAGTAAATGCAGAAACACGATGCTTTATGGGGAGGTATTTCACGGTCTTCAAAAATCTCATAATCCGAAACTTTCCTGAAAACCGAATTATACCCTTCTGTCAAGTATAAAATTTGACCCAGTATTTAGTGACCAGAGTTGGAGTCCGAGTCCCAGGTTATCTTGAGTTGGGGTTGGATGGTATTCGGCTAGCAGCGGTAGATACCGTAAGAAATAATAAGTCACCTGGACTGTTGTAGGCAATAGTATTTTCCGACAACTGAGTTAACCTTAGTGCAGAGATGAGGCAGTTACATAGTGTCCGTCTAATGTGTGTCATACACCTGTCTCACCCCTCCCCCTTACGCCCGACGCAACAGCTTAACCCCCATTTGAGGGGACAAATACGAGCACATGCACACAGGTCAGGTTAGAACATGGGACCCGTACACACAGCCTACCTCACTTTTACACGCTCAAGGCCTTCCCGAGCCATCATGATTGTGAATTCATTGAGCAGATGACGGGCAACAGGAGGAGGAGTCCTGGCCAGTGGCTGCTTTTGTTGCAAGTCGCGTGGTCGCAGCTTAAAGAGGTGAAACATGTGACTGAGGAGTGCCAGGCTGGTGGCCACATCCAGACGAGACCTGGTGGCGCCGCCTGCGTCCTTACGGGAGCGCTTACGAGCCGTGGAGTTGGCGGAGGAAGCGCTGTTCTTCTCATCCACTGGAAGATAGTTCAAACGATCAAGTATAAAGTGTGGGTAGGTGGAATCCGCCAGCCACTTCTGGCACGTAGCTGCATCAGCACCGGCAAGCCTCATCGCTTCCTCGCGGAGAGCCGAGAAGCAGGACGGTGGAGCAAACTCCTGGAGGGGGTAAGCCTCCACCGGTGCTTTAGCAGTGATACTGTAAGGCGGCAGGAGTTGCTTGCGTTGAGATCGCTCGGTGGTAAAATTAGCCAAGTCCGTTGGTTTCTGATCGGCTGATGCTGTAATGAAAAGAAAGGTAAAGATATAGGACGCCAGTTGGATCGGGAGGGGTAGGGTAAAGTTTCGTAAAGGCTGTTTCCCCAGCAGAATTAAGCACAGTTAATACAACAGGAAAGAATGAAAACGGTTCAGCAGGCCCACTTGTCCCTGCAGGTTGGAAAAACGTGTGCTGTGCGGCAAAAATGTTGCGTGTCTTTGACCGGTATAGTCACTTGCCACCGTCCTCACGAGACTGTACATAAAACCTCAGTTAAATAATGGTCTTCAGCGGAAGCAGCGACAGTGCTCCACTGCAAGGCGGGGAATGCAACACAATACCAGCAAAAGTGAAGACCGGGAAGGCAAGACCAACTCGTCCGGCTAGTAGGCGCGCCCACGGGCAACGGATGTAACGAAGGTCAACTTCGAAAGCAGCTGGCTGACGAATAAGCCCCCTGGAGTCCAGTGACTTGAGTGCTGCAGACACGCAGGTTTTAAGTTTGGCATGCCGAGGAGCTGAACCTTACTGAAGGTGAGATTGTCTAGGATACCTTTCCACCAGAACATAACCCTCGACTACTTTGTCCTTCGCAATTGACGAAGACCGTCACTGTCTCACAGGGTGGACACAGTGGTGACTTAGGCTTGAATAAAGCAGATTGGCGCGCCATCAACCTGATAGTATCACCAAATCCAGTTTACAACGACTGTAAGACAAAATCAAAGTAGAGGCGAAGAGGCGAGTTCTAGGAAGTAGTCGCAAAGGAGACATGGTCGCTAATAAAGCTCTTGTCTCAGCGATCGTGTCTCCTTTTTTGCAAAATAAAAATAATTAAAAGGGTGGTGCGGCGAATTGCACATGTTCAATATCGGCCGCCAAGGAAGATCCGGCTTGTGAATCTTAGGTAAGTCATACAGCCTTGGACAGAGTTTTGCCGTTGACCGGCAATCTTTACTATCACCGCCCTAAGTAAGACATGGGATTCGGGTGTATCTGATTTGCCATTAGTAAGAAATGCGCTGGATTTACATTAGTGTCTTATCATCGGCCCCACTCCCTCCGTCTCTTTTATACATCAGAAGTCTGCCAAAGCCTTCCCGTTGATTGTTAATGGAGCAATTCCTAATGCGTTACATGGCGTGGCACTAACGAATGCCATAAACATGTAAAGCAACTGTTAGAAGCCCACGCAAATTAGGGTATACGTGGTCTCCGTCTCCGTCCAGCGCAACAGTAGCAGACCTCGTTGGAGGGTCAACCCTGGCAACGGAATAAATAAAGCCAACAGAAATCACACGTGAACATGGTGAAATGTGACCTTCATGACGCCTATGGTTCTGTGGTTTATGGTTTGCGTAGTTGAAGACTGGTCAAACTTAAAGTAGGGATCTACAGCCACCGGTCCAGATCAGTAAAGACAGGGTGAACTTACATGGAGGCGCTTGAAGCATTCAGAAGTTCATATAAGAACGACCACTTAAGAGGTTCGTTCTGGAAAACAACACGGACTCAATTACCTTTGATGTCGTCAATTTTAATTAAGACAGACGGCGCTAGAGATGTATTGGTGATGCTACATAGAACCTCGATGGTTACGGATTATTAAAGTGGTCGAACACATGTTATTATAAAAGGATTACGGTGTACTCGGAATATCTGATAAATTTTCGAGGCCTCTAGTTCACGTTCCTGCAGTACTGGTCCAACCAATTTACCAAGAATGCTAAGGTAACCGTTTGGAAATGAAACACTGCGCCTACCGGATTGATCGCCTTTACTTAATGGCTAAAAGTGCGCCAATTTACTTAAGCTATAACCCGGCCATTTCGTCTAGGTGGTCGACTTCGTCCCTGCAATCTGCATGCTTCAATGCAAACATGACTGGTCACTGGACTACGCGAAGACAGTCAGGGGTAAAACATGACTATTGTAGGAGATTTCAATGCTACGCTGCTTAATCGGAGCCCTAGGGATGTTAGGACCCAGAGCCAAGAATTCGACAACTGCTACTGAAAATGGCACTTGATGAACTCTCTTTCAACCGGTCTGAATAACCGCTCGAAAGCGTGAAGGATGCAGATCCAGTTGTCTGGATATAGTATTTAACAATAACGAGGAAGGGGCTGATGAAATAATCGCAGGTCTACCCTGGGGTCCTTGTGATCACACGATATAGGGAAACACTTGTAGCTGTCCCGAACGAAGATCAAGGTCCTCAAAAAAGTACTCGGCGAGCTAACTTTGGGGCGATGAAATCGGCTATTAGACACACGGTGGACGGAGGCTTCACGGGATGTCAACGAATGTTGTGGGAGCTTTGACGTAACTATGAAAAACTTGATTAAATGGTACTGTCCCCTCACGAAGCAGACCGCAATGGTCGAGGACCGCGGTAAAGATCTGAAGGGAAAGGAGGGCCCAGGAAGGCTTAGGTACGTTAGATGACAACGCAATTTACGCAAAAACTCTCCCGTGATGCACGTGCATCTTATGAAGTTAGGCCTGTGGGAGAGACATCGCAAAAACTCAAAGTATTCCATGCTTATATAAGAAGGAACACCAAGAATCGTAACCATCCCCCAACCTTTAAAAAAAACAGCGTGATTGTGAACGATGGCCTCCAAAAAACCGAGCTTCTCTCTGAATATCCCCAGTGCTTATACCACTGAATCGCCTCCCCATCCCAGCTCTCTGTCATAATTCGTCACCAACCCACGGAGTTAGTTTTGGTCGAACCGAAGAAGTTAAATTCAGCCTAGTGACCAGGACCAAATAAGATTACAGGTATACTCCAACGTCAACTAGGAGAAGAATTAGCCGAACCACTGTGTATCATCTTCCGAAAGTCATTTGAAGCTGGTAAAGTTCCTGATACATGGAAATTGACAAATGCCGTACTCGCCCACAGGGGGGGGGGATTATAGTTGCATCCCACTAACTTCCGCTCGGTCAGCCTGAAATGCATCTGCTATAAACTAATGGAGAGGATAATCAGGAAAATCAATCACATCGCTTGATGCATTACGTTTTCAAATCAACTCAACACGGGATGGTTCCTGCGAAAAGAGGTCCTGTCTTACAAACCTCATTGCATCGCCCGAGCTTTGGCTAACGGCGGTGGACAAAGGGCATTCAAGTGGTGTGATTTACCTTGACTTCAGCAAGGTCTTTGATTGCGTCCTACAAAGCGCCTCATGCAAACTAAGGGATAAGAGGAGACCTCCTGAACTGGATTCATGATTTCGCAACCGAAGGTAGACCAGAAGTTACTACGGGTGGCTGCTGCTCAGAATAGGTGCCTGTAAAAAATGGGCTCCCACAATGATCAGTTCTTTGGCCACTCCAATTTATTATCTACGTAAGTGATGCAGTGAAGGAAGTGAAGTCCAATACAGCAGTCTACACAGATAATCTTAAGCTCTGGAGGGTGATAACTGAAGAGGGAGACTCCGTGATATTTCAACAGGATATAGACGAGCTGCAGACATGGGACGAGGTCTAGAGCATGAAATTCATTGTCGACAACTGTGATAATGCAAATAATGGCAGCAAGACGCAGAAGGAATGCACTCCCACGACAGTATCTCTTGAAAAATCAACAACTTAAAGCCGTAAATATGCAAGATGGTCTTGAGGTATTCGTTAAAGACGATTAAAGGGTGGTAACGTAGTATTCTGCACTCGCAGTGTGGTCAATGTCAACCATGAGTGCGACACGCAGGAAGTTTGCAAACCTGGATGCGAATATCTTTGGTAAGGTATATATGGAGCATTTGCGCGGTCGCACCTGGATTATGCGGTAAAGGTGTGGCGGCAGGGGCTTTGGAAAGACAGGTGTTCGTAAAGATGTACAACGACGTGCTAAAAACGCTGTTCAGAAACTGAGAAATTTGACGCACGAGCGGCGCCTGGCCGCCTTAAACTTCTACCCCTCCGCTATCGACAAGACAGAGGTGACCTCATAATAACGTTTCAGCTTCTAAGGGCATTTAATCTTGATCGGGGCTGGAAAAGTCTTTCCGGAATGATACCAGAGATAAATCTCAGACGGCGTTACTACCAACTTAAAAGTGGGCTACCGCACCAATTAATCCCCCTTTCTCTCGCAAAGTTATTCGTCAGTGGAATTCTTTACCAATATATGTCGCACATCCCCCCACCGTGTGTAAGAGGCAGTTGGATACTCGACATTTCGACCGTCGTTGTTGAACATATGCTCCACAGTAGAGTTAAAGCAGAAACGTTGAAATGCGCATGAATTACTTTATAATGATATGGGATTTGCACAGCACCTACCACACTCTCCTCCACCACCTGAATCCGGTGTCAAGACAGAATCAAGAAGGCCGGAGGTGAAAGAGGGCACAGGTGGCTGGAACAGCGTAAAAACGCACCTAGGCGTACCACTACACCCTTTGTTCTACAACGTACACTGACTAGGATCCTATGCCGCAATACAAATAGAGGGGAGAGGGCGGAACGGATCCCAGTTGGCGCGCAGTGAACCGGTAACTGGGGTTGCCAACACACTCCAACGTTGGCATTTGTTATGGATGCGTCTGCCGGACTCCCACTCACCTGTGTTGGTCCAGCGCAACTACCGCCCGGCTCGTTTTAGGGGCACAAATCCCACCTAATAAGACACTACAATGACTATAAACGTGCTACTATCTTTATTTCAATAGGCAATTTTGCTTACACTAGATTTCCCAATGTCGAACATATTAAATGCAGATTCAGTGAATGTGTTGTTCGATGTTACTTCGTAATTTTTCCACCTTAGCACTCCTGCTTCACAATTAATCTTATGCATTTCACATACTAGAATACTCAACAAAGATAGGAAACTAAGTTGCTTTTTATGCAGACCTATATTGTTTAAATGGAGTTTTCAAGGGCTTCCGTCATTTGCTCTAAATAAACTGACTGGCAATGGAGTCGGCGGACTGAATACAATGAAAAAATTTTATCTTCCTGGCTAATGGCTTGGGGAGGGAGATCTTCGTGTCATCAGTCCCCACTAGAGAGCAGAAACCAGGAAAATATTTGATTTCTCAAGCGCGACTGCCCCAGCGGCGACGACAGAGGCAGAACATCGATCCAGGATATGTCCTCGGCGATTCCTCTAGAAGCGCGTTTGGTGGATTCGATTTACAGACTTTTAATATGTGTTATGGCAGATTTTGAATAATTCATTTTGGCCCAACTGTGAAAAATTCTAACCCACGGCAGCCTTCCCCTTCAAGTCGCGAGTTCAAATCCCACCGAGGAGCCAAGTTTTTCACAGTTGTGTCAAAGTGAATTGTCGACATCTATGAAATATGCTTACAAAAGGGTCATTAATGTAGAAGTTGCCATTCTACCAGGGCAGACGCACAGTGGCAGAGTATAGGTCCGACATGAAAGCATTCACAAATGCTGCAGATCCAAGGAGGATTGCAAATGAATTTACGGGGCAGCGCTAAGCATTCTCACTTCGACTATGCCACGGGGATAGTCTCCCCACTCAAGTAACAAAACACTTCCTCCACGAGGTAGTGGATCGTAGAAGCCACATGTTACATCCTTTTGGTCGAAATTTGGAATTCTCCACGTCCACCTTCCAAGTGCTTCCGACTCTGCTCCCCGTCGTTGACATTTTCCTACCCCTTTTAAGCATGAATTACGTCCTTTTAATTGACTGGTCTCTTTTTTCAACATTGAACTCGAAATTCGACTCCATCGAATATTGACTAAGGAATATTTTGACAAGGATAGCCACTGTTGAAGTTTGCATGTTTTCCTTCCTATTCATATTCTGTTAATGGTGCCGTACATGTACACGGAAATCCGTTTTTTGGCTTGTAGGCGTCACTCAGAATATCAGAAAATTCAGCACTGCGCGTTTATTGCCAGTACATATCGCCATATGTCACACACGTTACTTCAAACGAGGACTTCGTCCTCACGACTTGTTATCCAGCATGCACGCGCAATTCACACATGTTTGGCACTTGGCACCTGTGCAGAGGGACGTCAAGTTGACGAATTCTGACCCTTTACTAAGAACTTAAGTATGACATTCTCAGGCAGAACGAAATCACCCTAAAAATAGGACAGATCGGTGAACTAGCAGTGGATTTGCTTGCAACAAGCCCTCCAGGCAGCGACACTTCTGGAAAAGCTATCGGCCGTTGCACAGCCAGTGCTAACACTGTTTCGTCGGCGGAACATCATGCGAAAGCAGTATTTAGTGCTTTTTATAAGGTAAGAAGGAATACTTGCCTGCGGCCTTTGCTTCTGCTCGCAATTCAGACTGACCAGATGCAGCACGCTGGAGGACAGCGGCATCAGCGACTGCCTTGTTTCGGTCCAAATTACGATCATATTCCTTCAGGAGTTTTTGACGTTTGGCTGATCCAAATGCAAAGGTCAGATCTACACGCTAAGTGCCATTCATAAAATAGACTAAATTACATTGACAGGAAGCTGATCCGGGGGCTCATCGATTGTCTCCACATCTGAAGGAAACTTCAGCTAGCCCAAAAATTGCACGTGACTAACCAAACACTGGAGCCAGAAACTCTGGAGGGCGAGAGAAGATTTCAACTTTTTTTGTGATCTTGTTATAAACCACGGTGACGAAACTAAAAGGAAGGGTGGAAACAATAGCTGAAGAACACAAAAACAGTCAGAGGCAAGGAGCATGGCATAATGGATGTGAGGAGGCAAGCAAACAGCAATACAACTTTCTGTCAGGACATCCAAGACGCTCGAAAGCTTGAGAGGCGAGTATGAACACTAAAACGGTTGGAACATTTTAGTGCCAGAACATACTCGCTTTCCGGTACTACGTTCTGATACAGCCCTGCCAGACTGTGGATTCGACCTGAAGAGGAGACCGGGACGCCGCTAAGGCATAAGCGCATAGTCTGAGTGCCGAAACCACGTACAAAAAGCGATTAATACGGGTTACGGTCTAAGGGGGGTATGTGTTTTTTGGCGTAACGATAGTGATGGTGAAGTAATGCAATCCTAACACAGGCCGAAGGCTGCATCAAAGAAATCGCACTCCTTACTATTCACACGGACTTGGGTACCTGCCTCCCTATAAGCTCGGATTCAACGAGGTAACTTCGGTGGCAGATTTTCATGCAGCACGATAGAATACATTGGTTCTCTATAGGCAGAATAAAGTGTAAATTAGTGGGCTAGTGGTAGAAGCAGCTGCACTAGAGGGATCAGCAAAGGAGGAAGTGCTGATCAAAGTATAGTTGCCTTGACCAAAATTTGTATTGATTTCTACTTAATCGCATTTTGCAGAACAAACGACAGCAATCGAAAACGACGACGGCAAGGTTTAGCGGCAGTGCCAAAAAGGCCTATTTCACATCAGTTCCTACGCAGCGACTTGCGTATAGAGACTTCATATAACGATAATGACGTTTCGGTCGATGGGTACGCGTTCTGTTTCTCAAATGTCGGCCAGAAAACAGCGTAACCGGTCAATTATAACTGTCAAATATCACTTGCAGACTTGAGCTAAAAAGCAGTCATTCTCAGGTGACCTGTCCTTTAGTTTATCTGTTGTATCAAAAACGTCCTCCACAGACGGCTGGCTGCAGTCAGTTCTACAAAAGACACCAAGACGTCTTCAAACTGCACGGCGGTTAAAGTGGTTTCGGGCAATTTAACACCAAAACTCGTTGTGGTCACGCCGTACAGGGCACTTGGTCTCACGACGTAAGTCCCAATATTTAGAACGTCACGACGATGAGCAGCCCTTACACAATTGACCAGTTATAAGGTCTTGTCAGACATCTAATAACCGTGGCGACGTCTATTGTGGCCCAAATGTTACCGTATGGCACTTGGGAAAATGATCGGTGTGGGCCAATTGTTTTTGACTGGGGACACGTTATAGGCGATTGTCGTAATGCCAGTGCGGAAACAGGAACTTTGAGGCGGTTGACGTCCCACTTCCTCGTGAGTCACGCCTCCTCCACGACACGCAGTATCAGTCGCAGACGAACCCAAACTAGAGCGGCTCGAGAGGACCTCAAGGCACAACGGGACGAATTAGTTCCGTAACACGATCGGTGAGCGTCCCTCTACCATTGTACGTGCCCGGTCGCAACCGACAGGACAACGAGCTGGTAGCTCAGTGATTAGGGCGTTGGACCTCCAACCAACAGGTCGCGGGACCGAGTCCCAGGGGTCGCACACCTCGGGGTTGGGTACCGCTTGCTCACGACAGCTAGTAGGCCAGAAATGGTCATTCGAGTCTCCCTAGTCTTTGTCGGTAGTGTTATTCTGCCAAACATAAGCACCGCCAATACTTTTATGGCCATACCAGCGCCACACACTATGCAAGGACCCAGTACAGAGTTTACCCAGCATGTCCGAAAAGACGTGTAATTACTCTGCTTTCGAATGTGGCCACTCGCGCAATGTCCGGTACTTAAATTTTGCCAAGGGATCGCCAACACGTATTTACAACCATCAGTCGCTTCATTGCCGTAAGGTTGATAAGCCTTTCGCAACTCTTCCAAGGGTTTTTCGCAGCGTAGGGGTCAAGGTCACACTGTGCAGACGCATCGCAATCCCACATACGGGCGTTCCAGTCAATCGCACCGACAAGATCACATAGATCACTTATAGGGTAGCAAATATTTGTGGCGGTGTTGGACACATGGAGTAGTAACGACATATTAATTCTGGTAAACAAATTTCACCACCCTTGTCGCATCGAGTGAAAAGCCCAAAGCAGTCAATGGTAACTGCGGAGTCGGCGAGTCCAGTCTTCGGCGGCAATCGGCAGATCAAGACTAAAGAGCCTTCCAACCAGCTCTTGAAATAGTGAGCAAATACCTTTGCCGTGCCGGCTAGATAATGACGCAAAAAGGCAAACGATAATGATTTTTTTGGGGAGCCGTGGTATAGCATGGCATCTTGATATCCTGCGAGTTCGGGTAGGAGATTCGGAATCCGAACCGGCAGCAAACATATATGTCAGACCGTAGGTGAAAGGGTCCATAAAAGTTCGCACATTCTAGCATCCGACACCAAAGTCCCGCCACCCACTAAGCAGTCTAGGTCGCAGGTAACTCGTTCTCATAAACGGACCGGAGTAGAGGAACGCGTCGGCTCCCGCAAACACCGTAACATGGATTAAAATACTTGACTCTGACGCTTTCATGACGTTCCTTGAGGATTTTGAGTACAAGCGGGTACCCAACAGCTGCCCCGATTGTTTGTCCGAGATTACCTCCAGCGCTCTGGCTCAACAGCCTACAAGGCAGAGGTAACAAGCAGACTTATTTTGTGCCGGTTAATGGTCTGCATGTCGCAATGTCGTCATCGGGCTTTGTTACACTTAAAAAAGCAGTCGGCGTGACAGTCCTAAGCCCTGATGGCGACGGTGGTTTCGCCGTAAAATTCGGCAAAAAAAGGAATATGAGTATGAGAGGCTACTAACGAGGCAATCTTATTCTACGGGGATTAAACGCACTGCTAACCGTATGCTTGACGAATGATGCTTACACAATGTCTTGTATTTTTATTGACGAGCCAAGTCCCCGATGGAAATGCCAAATACTTGTCAACGACAAAACACAAAGCTTGCGACGCAAATGGTTCGCTCACGACCTCTTCAACCCAAAGGGGAATTTGTGCGCAATGTTAGTTCCCTAATTCCTGTTTGTCGACGCCACCTCCGTGATGGCCAACCGAAAACGTGGACGGATCTGCTTTATTCACACCTTGACGAATGATAAACCCGACGGCTTTCGGTGTCTGGGGACAGAATAACAAGTGAAAAACGACTGCGGAAGGCCTAGCACGTGAAAGACGGCCAGACGCTTCACTTGTTCGTGATATATCAGAATGTGAAACCGGTTAAGGCAGTAGCGGCAATGGAGGATACAAGTAAGGCCAGTTCGACTATTCACAGTGTGGTGTCTCAATCACACGCCGGTACTTTAAGTTATTTTTCCAAAAGACAGGGCGAGTGCATTACACAGAGAGAGCAAAGGCAGGCTCCACTGCAACTACTCAAATTACATTTTACTTGTACTTGGTACGACTGTGTGATGCCTATTCTGGCCGGCTTCGACGATCTCACGTATTTTACCAGCGACGGAGACCGAATATCGAAGGCTCAAGAAGCATGTCCATGTCGTGATGAACCGTGTCATGAGAGAATGTTTTGGAGATGTTGCTCATCGCGAGGGCGGAAGTAGTCTACCAAATGAGGCTGCCCCCTTGCCATTATTACCATCTGTAAGCTCTTACGGTCGTTGTTTCGCCTTGTTTGCATTCAAAATACACTCGATACTAAAAGAAAAATGAGGCGTTCATCGGGAGGTGTATTGGAGGTCCGACGTTTCAAGTAGTCGTTTCTTCTACCCATCTTCTTGACAGGGGGACAGTCACGGCGCGAGACAACCGGGGTCGTGAACAATCGCCGCGGTCGACGAGGACAGGGGCCTTTCAGGTCATAGTGAAATGCAGGTAGGATGCAGCCACACAGATAGCATTGGCGAGCCAGGCATCTAACAAAGTGCGCCATATAAGGAGAGCTGTGTGCATGACTCCCCAATCTTTTAAGGTGTTTAGAAGAAACAACTACTCGAAACGTCAGACCTCCAATACGCCTCTTCCGGTGAACGCCTCCATTTTTTGATATGCCACCTGGGAATCGCATTTTAAGTCCTATTAACACTGAGTACTGTCATACAATTTATTTCGAAGATATCTTCAAAGCACATCGAGACAACTTGTAGTTGTGCTCGAAAGAGTAGCCTTGAAGAAAGATCGGAAAATCATCGGCTTGTAGTCTAACCAACTTACAAGGAAGCCGTAATTGGAGAGTACTCCCCAATCACATGTATAAAACCCTAAAATCATATATAGTTGCAACGGTAGGGAACATTCGACGACAAAATGAATGCGATTAGAGATCCATAAGAAAAAAGCCTAGGAGGAAGAAATACTCGAGGTCTCGACATCAAGCATAGGCGGAGAGCCGCCAATCATGGCGAAGAGATCACTAGAAGTATACCACGCACAATTGTCTGCATGAGGGCTCTACATAACCCCCCCAAACTGGTCAAGCGAGACTCCAAAGTCGCAAACAAATGCATTTGTTGGAGCAGGTAATTTAAGACAGTCAGATGCGTACCTGCGGTCTTTGCTGTCAGATGAAACGTTTTCGTACTTGATACCATTAATTTTCAATTTCTATAGAAATGCGTAGAAGACATTACGCCTTACGATGTTGCAAATAGAGGAGTTCAAATTAGCAACATCAACAGGAATGATATCATCTGGGTTTGCTGTGCTGGTGCCTAAAGAAAAGGGGCCTTCTGCAATAATATAAATCACAACGATACACGTTATTAATTCCATGCGCTTGACCTCCGAACAAACACCGAATTGAAAGTACTGGTCATTTTTGTGAAACAAATCAACCTGACAGTGAGCTAACATCATATAATGTCGATAACTTATTTCGTTGACTAAGTAAATAAAGATTCTATCTTCAAAACTTTCCTACAATTAAGGTTTTATGCCTTCTACAGAGCAATGGCCTCTGGGCATGTATGATCTTCCCGTTCAATATTCTGAGATTTTTCTCGCACATGCTGGACTTCTTGTGGACTTCCGCTTTGAGACCTCTCCATTTCTTTCTCTCCCCAGTTGAGAAATATCTTGCCGAAAAGCTGTTTTGTGCGTATTTTTAGTGTCGATTTCCAGCTCGATAATAGCTGTCCTTGTTTTACATTGTGGAAGACATTTTAGAGCGGTCTCAGCCGGTCTGACTCACTGTTTCGATCATTTATTCGACTCATCCTGGAAGACTTCAGTATGGAGACTTTTTCTCCTATTATGGGCGATCTGAGCAACTGATGAAATATTTGAATATCCCGATGTGATCTATCCTTAGGAATGTCGGAAGCAGACTTCGACATTCCCTTTATGACAATGCATCAAAGAAAACTATCACTAGTTTTTGCATCCAAAAGCTCCCAAAATGTTTGAGTGTTAAGTTCGTGGTCTCTTTTCTCCCTGCAGGTTTCATCCTATGGAAAATGATACTGGACCTACAGACTACAACACTACGGACTATTTCTTTAGCCGACAATGAGCAACTGTTCTCCCATGCACCCTGTTTGTAGCACGAGTCCTAACACCATGAAAAAAGGATGATGACATAAAACGTTCGATAAAATCTTAACTGATTCCTTTCTGGTCTGCTAGCCCGATTCGTGTCCTATCTTTCTTTGGTAACGCCTGCAAATTGGCTCTATACACAATTATTATTAGCAGAGGGAGTGGTCAGCGATCGTGTAAAGAAATCCACTCGTCCTGTTAGACCTTACGTCTCTCTCTCTCTAGCCTAACTATCAGCCGCAAAGCGGAGCATAATATAGGCAGACTAATATTACCGAGAAAGGCATTACCGTTTTACCAATGCATTCCTCGTGCTAATGTCTATACTGGATCACTTAACTTATCCGCTCCTCAGTTTCGACCCGGCCGGAATACGTTACAATATCCGAACAGTGGATTTCCAGCTGAAAATGAGATAGCTACCAATGGTTACCAGTTTCCAGCCCGTCATTTACTCCCCAAGAGTCACTAATTTTTATACGCGTCCGAATCTTTTCATGCCACAGAATTTTTTGCAAAACCGGATGGGTACATCCAGACCATGTGTTCCGTGGGCAGACAAGCACTGGACGGCGTAGCCCACATCTCTCAGGAACAAGCAGCCTTTCCCCTCAAACATTTTTGTTCAGAATGCCAGATCCTTGCTAAGTAAGGTGCCTTGGCTTCAGACAAGCGTGTTCGTCCACTGTCCAGATATTGTTTTACTAACTGAGGCATGGGCATCAGCTTCCGTAGCTGACTTCCAGCCCTCACTTCTAGGCTATACGTACATTCGAAATGATCGTCAAGTCAGCCGTGGTGGGGGCAGCTGTGTCTACGTTAAGCAAACACTCACATTTCTGCCGCTGGACCTCCTGCATTTCTCCGCGGTAGTAGGCAACTGCTGGTTTCAGGTTGGACTAAAATTAGGTTCTCCTTACTCCTGGCTGTGTCTATCGTTACCCAACGCCTTGGAATATGGATTCAGGCCGTCGATTCTCCTACCCGAGGACCAAGTTTACTTGACCAAATTTTCTGTAGAGGTTGAGTGCCTTTTTCACTGTCACCACTAGGTCAACTCGGGGGCCCAGACCATGACATAGTTGTTTCAGCGTTAGAACTGGAGGCTGAAAAGACGGAGTCCCCAAAGTACAGATTTCTCCGCGATTTCCGATCAGCTCGCCCGACCGAATTATCAACACACCTTAATTCCCACGATTGGACTGATTTCTTCCTAAGTTCGGATGTAAATTTTCGCACTGATAAACTGTACGATATTTTGGATCCGCTTATTTATCATTTCGTCCCCTGTAAGGAAATAATTAATGCCGGGGATGAGGTTTTACTACCCTTATCTTTTCGCCGCAAGTGGCGAAGACTTTCTCGTCGACTCCATCTTCAGAAGGAACCCTTCCGTTCTGCCCTTGATTTTTGATATTTTTGAGCGGGCTAAGACGCAGGATCCCACTATCCGAGACGCTCTCAGGAATCCTATAGTTGATGCCTAGTTAACCGCTAATAGTTTCAACGCTTTCCTGTCAAAAATATTTATTAAAAACTCGGCCACCCTGCGTCCGACCATCCAGACATTGAACGGGGCACATCTCGGAACTAGAGCTTTCACTCCGGGGGATGTGTCTATTGCGCTTCGTCGTTTCCGTCAACCGCATAGCCCCGGACCTGATGGTGTCCCGGTAAGCATTCTAAAAGCGGATGCAAATGCACTTTTCCCACTCCTCTTATGCAAGATATTTAATCTCGCTCTTGAAAGTGAAACCTATCCCACCTTGTGGAAGGAATCACACATTTTGCCTATTCCCAAGCATGGCCAATCCACGTCATTTGATGACTTTCGGCCAATAAACACCATTCCTGTAGTTGCGAAGATCTTACAGGCATTGATTAAAGAGAAGATGATGTGTCATTTAACAAAGACTAACATAATAAATGCTGCACAGCATGGATTCCTCAAAGGTTGGTCTTGTGACACCTCTCAGCTCTCATTATTTGACCGTTTTCTCCAATCTAGGGACAATTATTTGAACTTTGCACAGTCTATTTCGATTTTACTAAGGCTTTTGTTCGTGTTGACCATGCTCTTTTACTCTTGAAACTGTCCACTTCCGAAATAGGTGACAAACATCTGAATTTTATTTCCTCTCACCTGGGCACTCGCACACAACGAGTTGAGAGTTCCAATGCTATCTTTAACCGCACATATGTGAAGAGTGGAGTCATTCGGGTTAGTGTCCTCGACCCGCCATTATTTTGCCTTTTTGTTAATAGTGTAGCAGATTAATTTAAGAATGGTAAGCCCTTCATGTGTGCCGATGATCTGAAAGTTGCATATAGATATAAGCCGGCAGATCGTGACATCGTGCTTGAGCCCCTAAAGTGCGGCCTACAGGCCTTCGTCCAGTGGTGTCGCACATGGAGCCTTCCTCTCTCTTGGCATAAGTGCTCATTCATCGTGGATGGCAACAACCACCAACTTCAACTAAGAATTGGTGGTCACGACATAAATTTGCCAGTGGTTATTAAGGATCTGGGTGTATCATACTCCAAGAGCCTTAATCCTTCAGAGGACTGCGCCCTGATAGTCTTCAGGGCACGTTGAACGACCGTATTTATCTTCCGAAATTTTAAACCAGCGATAATAGAATGCGCCCATATAAAAGTACATTAGACCTGGGCTGAAATACTGTTCGTTTTTATTTGACCTCATGCTTGTTGCTAAGCGCAAGAAAATAGAATCCGTCCAAAATTTTTTTCTACCAAGAGACTTTCAACCCCGGAACACCGGAGTTTGACGTTCCAAGAACGTTGCCGACTTACAGGCCTTGATCATTTGTGGTTTCGTAGATTACAAAGTAGACTATTTTTACTATTTAAGCTTTCATATAATTGTACCTTTAACCCACTCACTACTTTAAGACATTATGTCCACCCCCGGCCTAGCAGTCACCGTGAGGTCTTTTTAGTTCTTCCTCTGGCACGTATCGTTAGATATCGTTAGTTCTTTTCTGTAAATGCAACTGTTATTTGGAAGAAACTACCCAGGAATGTGAAAACTCTGCAGAATTATCCTTTGCTTAAGAGAACTATTACTCACTTTTTGCATTCAGAAAAACTCTCACAAATTTATGGTGCTGAATCCATCGATCAGATTTATCGTAGAGATGGCATTCGTCGTCTCTGACCCCTATGACCGGTCTCACCAAGGACAATTTCTTAAGCCAACAGTGACAGTTGTTCTTCAGTGTTTTTTCTTCGTCCAGTCACAACTTCATGAAAAGACATGGCGACTGATAATATCCGATACAGTGTTACTACTCCCTTTATTGATTGTCGTCATTTCATGGGCAGCAGCTTTTTCTCCTGTACCCTCAAAACTACAAAAAACCACCTTTTTCGCGAGTGTTTTTACTTCTGTCCAAATTTTTGTTTAGTCTTTTCCCTGACGTTGCCTGTAAACACCGACTCTGAATTTCTGTTATTATTTTCATTATTATACGGCAACCGGTTTTTCCGAAAGAACAGGATTATATCATAAGAACTCTATTGGACTAAACAAGCCCCTAATGTCTATGTACATTTTAGAAAAATCACGCGAAAATATATCTCCTCTTATACTCAATTTTATGGCCTGCGACCAGCCATAAATTCAGTCTTCGTAATTCTTCCCTGATTATACCTCCTCCCTCTTCCTCCATCTCTATAAGCTCTTTTTTCACCTCCGCGTATACCTTCCCTTCAAATAACCTTTCAGTGGACGTAAGAACACCAGATAATTTGCATATTTTCAAAGGAAAACTGCGCCTTTATCTACCTACAGACTCTAACAGACTTTTATTTTCTTCGTCTTTCTCGGACAAATTTCTCTACGACTTCGAGAATGGGCCACGGCGCAAAGGGCTGAAAAAACCTTTTTTACAAATGGCATCAAGAAGAATCTCAGAAAGATCCGGGACTTGCTTCGTACAAACGGGTATCCTGACAAGCTTATCGCAAAGAATATTGCTGATCGACCGGAAAAACCTACCACACTGACGGCCGAAAAGAAGACGCTGTTCCTCAAAGCCCCGTTTCCAGAGGACTTTGCGAGTGAGCTCTAAAAAAGGTCGCCTTTTTCAAGCCGTCTCTCAAACCTTGCCAGCAGAAAGAGTTCGAATATTATTCTCTACTTACCCTATTTTACCTAGAGATGGTAAGGACCGGTTGACAACTCAGACCCCATCAATGTGCATCTACTCCTTCACTTGCTTCTGTGGATCAGGTTATATTGGTCGCACGAGTCTGCACCTATCCAAGAGAATACGAGAACACCACCCAACATGAATGGAAAAAGTCCAAACTAGGGGCATAAGCAGCGCCGTTCTAGCTCATGTTGTAGATTCCGAGCATCGTATGGACTCCAACGAAGCTTTTTGCGTGACTTATAAGGTTACATCGAGCTATCTGGAGGTGCTGGGTCAGCACCTGCTAACAACAGCGGAAGCGGTTTTCGTCAGGTTACGAAAACCAGTCTTGTGCGCACAGAAGAGCCACATTCAGGCCCCGTGTCTATCGTAGTCTAGGTTTGACTAACTTTGTAACACCCGGTGACCTTCTGCTATTGCCCTCCGCATTCCTACACTCCGCCTGTGTTGTAAGACGAACTTTAGTCGATTTCTCTCATCACTGACATGCTATTGCGTCTACTTACATCCCATAGAAGTGTGCAGGCTTGACGAGAATTTATCGAAAACAAACTTACGCTCGCCGACTGACCTTACTTAAATCACACTATTTCTGTCTTTTTCGAAAAAAAAGGGTTTTTTATTGTCCGCTAACGGTTTAATTATCACACTGCCTGCTTTACAGCCACAAGCCGGACACTGTACGGTGTCTGTCTACTTGGCCAAAAACTCGCCTGACAGTATCTTTTTGCTTACTAGGACAGTACCTTATGAAGTACTGAATAATGCAAGTAATTCATTCACTGTTTATTTGATTTTAGCCACTCAACTGTGTGGCAGTCAACGTTGAATAAAATCTTATTAGATTGGTAGTAGGGCAGGTGCTGTGATCTCACTTATTTTTCGGACTTGCCCTATTTTTGTCCTTAAGACCTCGCTTGTATACGCATGATGTGTGCTTGTAAATAGTCCGAAGACTTTGAAACCGCGCGTTTAAAATTTAGTTTCAAATTCTCGACTTCCAAAGTATTTGCCTTCTCTGAAGTTTCGGTTTATCGGACGTTCTAGCAGACTGTCACTGTTAACACCCGGATTCGGATCAACAATATCGTTCTCCATGCAATTATTTATCCAGTAACTTTAGGAGTTCGGAACCTTGTCAATAACTGGCTTCCCGTCAGTCCAACGGGCATCTACTGCAAGTTAATCTTAACCATATTTGAGAAGGTGGCAGTGAGGCTCGTAGAGCTGAGTTAATTTCTCTCAGGACTCCAGTACCGCGTCGGACAAAACAGTTTTTGCCATTCCAGGATGCTAATGCCAATCGAGCAGTTGACTTATGTGTTGGATGGATAGGGTAGGTTTGACGTCAGGTTTTCACCTTAAAGTGTGTACAGATAATCTCCTAATATGTTTACGAACAGTACACCTGCAATGATAAAACAGACTCCGTTTATTATAGCCCCTCTTGGGCGTTGCCATTCTCTTTAAAACGCAGATAAAATACAATGATGTAAACAGCACATGTAATGAAAACGTCAAACCCCGGCTTACCGGTAGTCGAAATTTAAACATCGTGAAAAAATCAAGTAAGGAAAAAACTTCTGTACAATTTATTTGGTTTTGGGCAAATGGGATTAATCAGATGGATAACTGCAGATTATTAAATGACGGCGGCCCAGACCGGTCTTCTAAGAAAAGGAGTTTTTTTTACTGATCGATGGTCCTTTTACTTATCCAACTACTTATTAAAGATGCATCAATTGAATACTGTATAGATTCTGTCTACCTGTTCAAGAATTCATGTGAAAACTTATTTTGACTTGGCATGATAGGAACCCCAAGGGTCTTAAATAAAACACTTTATTCATTTATTTGAATAGGCGGCATGAGGATGCAGGATTCTACAGTCTCAATCCCTTTCCATAGATTAGCACTCTCTTTCATACGAGAATAGATGGGTGGACACTTGCTCAATTCAATTCAATTCAATTATTTTATTAAAGACCCGTCGGGGTCCCATCAAATCAATAAAAATAAAGGTACATGAGAATTTTAGACGAGGTAGGCAAAATCCGTACAAAGTGCAATACATATTTTTTGAGATTAGAAGTCCGTTAAGCAAAATGAAAAACGAGGGGTGAAAAAAAAATCCAAAACAAAATTTAAAAATGATTGTATTAATTTAACAGGAGAAAAAAACCCTCAAAAAAATAGCGTCAGAAAAATGCAGGGAGGACTGGCCTGCATGTGGCGGTATAGAATGGAATATAGTCGGACATCAACATGGCCGAAATAAATGTCAGCATTGTGTAACGGATTTCATAAAATGGTACGTAGGCGGGTAAGTCAGAACTGGCCTGTATGTGGCCTTGAGTAAGATAAATAAGTGGCGAAATTGAAAACCAGTCTCGAGCTGATAGGAACCCAGATGCGGTCGGTTTCATTCAACCGAGTCCATCCGAGCATGGGGGAAGGGAGATGCGACCAGACTACTTGTATATGGCGAATATAGAAGGCTTTGTCAAGATCGCCGATGGAGCGCATTCTGTAAGGGCGCGATGACAACCAGTCTCGAGGAGACAAGAACCCAGATGCGGTCGGTTACATTCATCAGAGTCCATCCGAGGATAGGGCCAAGGAGATGCGACCAGATTACTAGTATATGGCGAATAAAGAAGGCTTCGCCAAGAGCGTCGATGGAGCGCATTCTGTGAGGGCACGATGCATGAACTGAAAAATTGGAATAATTAACATTTCTGGTGAGGGATCTGTGGTAGCGAGACTACTCATAAAGGAAGGAAACGTGAACAGATACGGAAATTTAATGGCGGCATGCTAAATTCCCGGTGGCCCTTTCTCAGTGTCATAGAAAAAGTTGTCTGGGAAGGATGAGGAAACTAAAAGTTTAATCGAGTCAGTATTCAGATAAAGACGTAGCCTTCTCTTAAAGGTTTGTAGATTAACTGAAGATCTTATATTTATTGGAAGGTTATTCCAGAGGAAAGTATACCTGGAAGCGAAAAAAAGGGAGCGCTTAGAGGTGGAGGACGCTGGAGGAGGTATAATTAGAGACGAATTGCGAAGATCGTATGGGCGACTACTAGGGGTAAGTGCTGAAATCCGAGGAAAATTTGAACTAGGATTAATGCGAAAGAGGAGACAGAAGCCCGCTTCAAGTCTTCGAACCCATAAAAAATGTAAGTTATTTGACTGGCATCTATCTGAGTAGGAGATACTTGGATGTCCCCTATCTAAAAGTTTTTATTAAAAAAACGTCTTTGGACATTTTCAATTTTTAAACGACTTGACTCGTTCATCAAACCAAAGAATGGTCAACAATACTCGAGAATGGGAAGTACAAACATAAGATAGAGCCTTAATTTAATTTCGGGAAGATAGAAATCGTAAGAAATAAAGCCACAAATCTGGGCAGCTTTGGCTGTAATTCTGTCAGCGTGCGGCGAGAGATCAAGATCATTAGTGTAGCTGAAACCTACATCCTTGATTTTGGTACATTCAGTCATAGGTGTGCCTTGAAAGACCACTGGTTGGGGTAGCGTATCAGGTCCAAAACACACATATAGCGACATTTAGACGGAGAGAATTCTATTAGCCATTTTGAGCTCCAAGCTGAGAGAGCAAGCAAGTCAGCATGGATTTGCTCCAG